TAAGAGCCTGAGTGTCTGAAAGACCGAGATTACCCTGAGAGAGGGGTGACCCAGAGGGAGACAACCCAGAGCAAGAGAGAGACCTTCCAGACAGAGCCTCACCTCTCCCCTGGCCATGCCAGGCATGGGATGGAACAGACCATCGGCCCGTTTTTGTCTCAGCCCTAACCCTGAGGTCGAATCCTGGGCTGGTCACTGGGGCTGTGCTCCCTCCCAGCTCCTCCTGCCCCTGCAGACACGGGCACAGCAGAGAAGCTGGAAAGTCCTTGACTGTCCTGGCAGCAGCTCTGCCCATCAGTGTGTGATCAGCTTCTCCTCAGCACAAACCCCAACACAGCCTCACACCAGCTGCTGGGGAGAGAGTTCACTCTGTCCCAGCCCAAACCTGGACAAGTCCCATCCAACCCAATCCGTTCTGTGATTCTATGACTCAGGGAGTTGCTGTGCCCTGATTTCCATGGGGTGAAGGCACAAGGACAGCTGGGATGGCTGACACGGTTTTGGTGTTTCTAATAGGACAGGTACAGAACCTTATGCGACCCTGCAGGGTTTCAGGGTGACTTGCAGACCCTGTTCCCAAGCGAGTTGGGTTTTTGTGATTGCTGCAAAAGCTTTGGTAAGGTTTCAAGTCAGGAGTGGGAGGAAGAAAAAAAAAAATCTGTTTGGGACAATATCTGGATGAGGATCTGTGTGTAAATGTGGATATACACACCCCACACTCTCCCCTCATAGCCAGGCACCGACATCAGGCAGCTGCTAAAAACTAACAAGTGAAAAAATGGAAAATTACAGATTGGGTGGAAAAGGTATGTGGGGAAGGTGGGTCCATGAGCAGACTTACATTTCCAAAGCGGTAACAGTCTTTTGTCAAGAGCTGAGATGAAGAGGAGAGTGACGAGGTAATAGAGACCTGAGGGTGGCCACAGATACAGACACAATTTATCTTTCCATTCCAAAGAGGAATGTATAATTCACTTTCTAAAAATAATGTTTCACCAGTCAAATTTTCTGTGATGCCTCCAGCTTGCAGGGTTTGGCCAAGATGATGAAGAGATCATCTCACTTTTCCAGTAAACAGCTTTTTAAGCTTATTCTTTGCTCTTCTCTGCTGCAAACTCCACTCCTTCACACCTGGAATTAGTGATGGGCTGGAGCCAGGACCTGGGCTGATCCCTTTCTGCCAGAGCAAGCTCAGCACCCGCTCTCAGATCTGCTTGGTCCTCGTCCCATAGATGAGTGGGTTGACCATGGGAGGCACCAGCAGGTAGAGGTCAGCCATCAGGATGTGGAGGTGGGCAGGGATCCTCTGTAGAAGGAGAAGAGCCTGGGCATGTAGAAGAGTAGGATGACACCAATGTGGGAGCCACAGGTCCCGAAGGACTTCAGATGAGCATCTTTGGAGGACAGACCGATGACCTCCCTCAGGATCAGCATGTAGGAGATGGCGATGAGGATGGAGTCAGAGCCCACCACACACAGCAGCAGCCAAACCCAGCTTGGCAATGGTGGGGCTGGTCAGGATGGCAGAGTAGCGCAGGGGCTTGCAAATGGCCAAGTATTGGTCAAAGGCCATGATGAGCAGGACCCCTGACTCCACAGTGGTGAAGGCGTGGGTGAAGAACATCTGAGCCACCCAGCCCCCAAAGCGGATCTCCTGGGAGCAGAACCATAAGATGCTCAGGAGCTTGGGCATGGTGAGCACGAGGTCAAGGGCAGCCAGCATGGAGAGGAGGTGAAACATGGGCGAGTGCAGGCTTGGGTCCATCTTGATCACCAGGAGGAGTGTGACGTTCCCCAGCACTGTCACGGAGTACATGGTGCAGAAGGGGATGGCAATCCAGAACTGAGCATCCTCCAGCCCAGGGATGCCTGTCGGGATGAAGGACAAGGGACTGGAGCAATTTGGGTAGGACAGGAGGCACTGGAAGGGAAGCCACAGGAACAGCTGGCATAGATGGGGAGAAGAAAGAGCTGTAGCAAGGATTGCTATGGGCTCCAGCCACTTCTCAGGCACACAGACCTGTGACCAAACCCTCCTGCTGTTGGGAGAGATAAATGTTGTTTTCACATTAACTTAATCTTATACAGAGATGATTCTGTTATCTGAAGTCCTGTGATGCTTATGAGCTGTCTGCGTGGTTAAAAGGATCAAGACCCCGTCTCTGTGGTTAAAAGGATTAAGAAAAGAATGAGGTCACTCTTGCACAACTCACGGGAATGCAATGGCATGGACTGGTTTTGCAAGCAAAGAACAAACTGGGGGCTCGGATGGCTATCAAGAGGGAATTGAGCATTATCGTAAAAGGAAATGTATAAACAAGGGGAGAGGGGTGATAATGGGACACATAAGCAAGGGCGGGAGGTTTAAACATGTGAACTAGAAGCACCCGGATAGGCTGTAGACCTTGGAGTA